TTCCCTTTCCTTGATCTGCACCCCCATGCACCTGGGCTCGTGTGTCTGTGTTCACTTTTAGCACCCCAGTCAGTGGGGGGGGTTGTGCTACCTGAGAGCAGAAGCCCTTGCTGGGGATCTGCTTCTCACAGACATCGTCCCTGTGGCTGGCCTTGGAGCCTGTTGCCCCCAGAGTGAGCTTGGGGGAGCTGGCCCTCACACCTCCCTCCATCTGTTGATCCTGGCACCGCAGGGATGCCCAACACATCTGGCTTGGTCAACCGCCGCAATGTGATCGCCACCTCAGATGCTACAGTGGTGTCCCGGCTGAAGCAGGCTGGTGCCATCCCGTTGGGCGTGACCAACTGCAGCGAGCTGTGCATGTGGTATGAGTCCAGCAACAAGGTCTATGGCCGGACCAACAACCCCTATGACCTGCAGAGGATCGCAGGCGGCAGCTCAGGTGAGCCTCAGTGCCTCAGCATGGTCCTGCATGAGCGGTGGGTTAAAACGCAGCAAGGAAAGAGTACCCGAGTCCTCTACACACTGCTTTAGCTTGTCGCTAGGCTCCTGCAGAGCTCACAGGCCCCTTTCCCAGGCAGCGCAGGAGGCCATTTGGAAGTCTGACTGCTTTGCACCTCCTGGATGTCACACATGGCATCAGTTCCACTGACAGTACTCTGTCTTACTGAAAGTGCAAACACCAGTGCTGGTGTGGCACTTTAGCAGGGAAATCCCTGTGGCCCGCATTCCCCAGCTGTCCCCTAGACATTGCTAAAGCTGGGGCGGCTCCCACCCCATCTGCGTGAAAGGGAAGTGGCCGCTGTGAGCTGCTCCTGCTTTGCTGGGTGATTTGCACTATAAGCCTGTGGAGTTTTTGCTGTATTTTCTCCCATGCAGGTGGGGAGGGCAGTGTCCTGGCAGCTGCCTGCTCAGTCATAGGCGTGGGCTCCGATGTCGGTGGCAGCATCCGGATGCCTGCCTTCTTCAACGGAGTCTTTGGCCATAAACCCACGACAGGTAAAGCAGTGAGGGGATCTCCTCTCCTCCCCAGCAGGCATACCAGTAGGTGGAATGTAGAATGTGGGAGGAACCTGTTGGGGACACTCCTGTGCTTGCCTCTGGTGGGTTTGATGCAAGGGGACAGGCAGCTTCTTGCATGGGACAAGCCTGCTGCCTGAGCACAGCCTGGCCTTGGCAGTGGGAAGCTGTTTGGTGGCAGAACGCCAAGCGCATGGGAGGTGTTTTACCCCTGGTATTGCATCCTCAGCGTGGGATGTTTTTCCCAAGGTCAGGATCTGCTGCTGGGGTGTTTCCTTGGCAGCTGGTGTCCCAGCTGGCTGCTGCTGCTTCTTCTTCTTTCCTCGCCATCAGCTCGCAAGCGCTGCCCATGTGTGCAGTCGCTGGGCAACAGCCTCCCCCTGTGCCCGCTGGCCACCCTCCTGCACGGCTTGCCCTGGCTGGAGCTGGTGCTCACGGGGTGGTTCCCACCGTGCCCCTCTGTTCTTGTAGGGGTGGTGCCCAATGATGGCCAGTTCCCAAACACTCAAGGGGTGCAGACCGGCTTCCTGTGCACAGGGCCCATGTGCCGCTACGCGGAGGACCTGGAGCCTATGCTGAGGGTCATGGCTGGTCCTGGAGTCAACAAGTGAGTCGCTCCTACTATACAAGCTGTTGAATTGGTCTCAGCTACTTTCTGGCCAGTGCAGTGAGTCAATCCTCTTTGGTGTGTGAGACAGGTCTGCACCACCAGGGTTGCTTGTTACTCGTTTCCTT